ACTGCTTGCCATTTCTCATTTGGTAACTTGGTGACATGATGTTTGTCTACATCTCTGATGCCTTCTCTAGTTCCTGGTGAGCCAGAGCAAAGCCTCGTTGAAGCACCAGGTCTCCAGTTCCCAAGTTGTTGCCATCACTCATAAATCCCTAGCCAAGGCAGTACCAGTGTCTGGTCCAGGGCAGTCTGTAGTACTCCTTTACCAGGAGGCTTAGGGATAGCCAGCTTGGTATGCAGTCCCATGTCTCCTTGAAGGGTCACCAAGACCCCCGGTATAATTCTCTTCTGGAAATCTCAGGCTCTGAGGTCTTCGAGTGGCCTGTGAAAAATGTAGCCCAGAATGGCTCCACAGAGAAGAGGAGCGGGGTTTGTGCTCTGCCTGGGATTCAACATTAGCTGAGAAGGAGGCTTCTCTGGGCGGAAACGAGGCTTGACAAACATAAGTGTTTTGCCCAGGTGCAGGCTCCTCCCTGTCCTTGTGGAATTGCTGCTCATAAAGGATAGAAGTGCAAGGATGATGAATGGGGTCATTGAAGCCATCTGCAGAGCCCCCTCTGTATGCTCTTGGCAGGGCTGCCACTGTATTCCTGTGATCAGGACCTTTCAGGATGGCTGCCTGGGTGTGCATCCCAGGGTGTGCAAGATGCTAGTGAATGGCGAGTAATTGCCCGGTGTAGCTTAGCATGTGGATCCTAAGAGAGGCACAAGACATGTGGACAGATTGTTGTTCCTGCCACTGGAAGCCCAAATTGTGGAAGGGGAAAGGTTGGTGGGGCCTTCACCGTGCAACTGCTCCTGGGAGTGGGTGTTATCTTAAACTATGACTCCCATACCCCAGTTTCAAAGTCTGAGCCAGGAAACCTGCATTTTTTTCCTGTTGGAAAATGCATTTCCAGAATTGTAATGGAAATCAGTGAGAAAAAATAGGATTCTCTGGTCACAGATTTTTCAAGAATGTTTCTATAGTGTGGTAACAAAGTCAGTGGCAGTGGTTCTTGTGCGAGGTCTGAGTCCCTTTCTCCATCCTTGATGTCCCTTTCTCCTTCATTGTTGACCCTCTACAGCCAGCTCTGCATTAACACACCAGACACTTATCCAGTGGTAGGTGGTCAGGGTGTCTCAGCCTCTGCTCTGCTGACAAACCAGGCCAGCTCAGTCTTTGCCAAGGTGCATCTTGTATACTGCATGTTCACATCCTTTCCCCTCCACCTGCATCATGCCAGTGGCTCCTTGCCCAGTCATGATAACCAAAAATGACCCCAAACCTTGCTGAATGTCCCCTGGTTGAGCAACATGTATCTCACTGATAGTACGAAAGAAAGGAATCAATGGTCCAGGCTAGGAGGAGGGGCAGCCGAGAATATGACATTAGAGAAGGGAGACAAGGACTTTTTAAAGGTGGGTGTCTAAGCAAGTGGAAACATTTCCCTACCTGCCTTACCACGACCCTGGGGACATTTGGAATGGCAGCTCCTCCAGCCTGGCCTGGCCTGGCCTTGCCGACAGCTCTGGTGAACCCCACAAGAGACAGTGGGGCGCGTCTAGTGTATCTTGCATTTGTTTAGGAGAGAGTTAGATTTGAATAAGAAGAATGGTGGTGGCTGGACCCCGCTGATGTATGCCTCCTACATTGGACACGATACCATCGTGCACCTGCTGCTCGAGGCAGGGGTGAGTGTGAATGTGCCAACCCCGGAAGGGCAGACTCCACTAATGCTGGCCTCCAGCTGTGGCAATGAGAGCATCGCCTACTTTCTCCTCCAGGTGAGCTATGAGGGGGCAAAGGCCCAGCAACCCAAGGGGCTCCCTGGCTGCCCTGACAGGACATGAGGCGCTGCAGGCCAGGGTGTGTGCGTGAGCACATCATCACTTCCAATTCTTTCAGCTGAGGGCCTGGAGGGCGCTGCCTGCCCATCTGCTCATATCAGAGAGTTGGGCTTTAACCTGTGCTCTTTGTTTTCTTGAAGCAAGGTGCGGAGCTTGAGATGAAAGACATTCAAGGCTAGACTGCACTCTTCCACTGCACCAGTGCCGGGCACCAGCAGATGGTCAAATTCCTTCTGGACAGTGGGGCGAATGCCAGTGTGAGGTGATTGCCACGGGAGTGGGCTAGGTCTTGTCTGACCTAGGGAGGATGGCTATAGAAGCCACTAGCCAGAGGTCAGCACCACCCCACCTTGGTATGAGAGGTGAAGATGAAGGGGTGGAATGGACGGGCCCACCCAGGTGTGAACTGTCTGCCTTCCTGTCAGGACATCCACTGCATCTTCCTAGGGCTCTGAGCTTCATTTTCTTTATCTGAAAATGGGATAGCAAGTCCTGTGTCAGAGTGTTGTTGGAAGAATCACATGTTACAGCCAGGTGTGGTGGCGCACACCTGTAGTCCCAGCTCTCTCGGAGGCTAAGGCAGGAGGATCACAAATTCGAGCCCAACGTGGACAACTTAGCAACAAAGTGAGACCCTGTCTTAAAATAATTTTTTAAAGAGGCTGGTGTGAAGACCCTGGCTTCAA